CACAAATGGACTCACCCAGTATATACATATACTACGGCTACGTGAAGACCCGACGGAGCAAGACCGAGGAGTCGAGTCGAGTTCAGAGTGACAGAGTAAAAGGTTGTAGGTAACCGGAAGAGTGAGGGTGAGGTAACAGCGTTGTAGGAGTCACAGTGAGCGAGCACGTAGACTCAGAAAGAAGTCATACAGCGACACTTCAATACCAAGGACTGTATAGATATTTTGCTACTAACCCGTATTCCTGGAACTACTAACCTGCATTACCAGTTTTTATTATTACGTTAATACATTATTTTCATATATCCATTCCTGGCGTTTGTTATTTATTGGTACTGGATTTCATCCCGGAATCCACAACAGCATTTAAGTATTGAATTAAAATTTAAGCCTATTTTTTAAAAGTTCAACAATAATTCTTTTGCTGCTACTTAATTTAAAGACGATTTATTGTACATAAATCCTTATTTTCCGACAAACAATTATTTTTATTTCATGGGTCACAGAACAGGGAGCAATTTATAAGATGAAATTAATATTTCGCAGAGATGGCAAAACAGAATTACAATTAGTTATACATTCAATATTTGAATAGAAACATAAGAGCTAATTAAGTAAAACCTACATTACTGAATCTAAATCCGAAATTCGAGCACAATTATCCAATGAATTCTGCAGTCAAAAAGCCCCAGCTCTATTTTATATTAATTTATATTCGGTATTCTCCTCCCCACCATCTTAGACAAGATGTGACACAATTGTCTTTTTAAAAATAACCCGAAAAATACTTTGCCCGGGACAAGGACAAAAACTCGGTTGCAAAACCTTGGGCCTCGGTGCTTCTTGTATCCCTCCCTCTGGTGCAATGGGAGGGCACTGGAAGCTCTTCACCAGGGATGGGCACCTCTCAGTATTATTTTCTCAGTTGCCCCTCTGTGATTTGACGGAGAATCCCCTGAGCGTACCCTGCCCAAATACAGATATGCAACTGAGAGATAATAAGCCGGTGTTAGAAATTCCTCCAAGGAGGAATTTTATGCGGTTTTTACTTGACTCACCCACTGAGTCAGGTTGTGACACAAGGTCAGTTTTTAACGTGGGGATCCGAGTGTTTTCACTCGGGCCGCTTGTCTAAGCTGGTCTTAGCTGGTCTAAGCTAGTCATAGCTGGTCTAAGCTAGTCATAGCTGGTCTTGGCCTGTCATAAATGGTCCAAAGTGGTCAGAGCCGGTCCAAGCTAGTCGTAGCTGTGATACCGTGATACTGTGATACAGAGACGCACCCCTGTGACCAATTTGGATATCCAATTTCGAGTGTGTAAAAGAAAGGACAAAATTTACGGTGTTTACTCATTCCCGCAAGAGAATGAGTTGTGACACAAGGTCGGTTTAATGTGGGGACCCGAGCTATATACACTCGTGCAGGGCCAAAAATTTTCATAAGCCCGCAACCGTCAGTTTGCGCTGGCCTCTGACATCAAGAGGCCAGAAACGTTCTTTAAACCACAAGAAACATCACAAGTGATTGACGACATCACCTCTACAGAGTCCGGGGAAAAGGAAAGGAGCTGGGAGCCTTTTCTAAACAGGAAACAAATGATGAGCCTCTACTCATCTTTAAAAGAAGACAGAGGAGTCTTAACCGAGCGAGAGAAAATCCAATCTATTCATATTACACACACACACACACACACACACACACAAACACACACACACACACACACACACACACACAAAGAGCAAAACCAGAAATCCATCAACAACGTGCATGGCATGGCATGGCTCGCGGATTTGAACTTGTGTAGTATGGTCTCGTTTTTTTACTTATTTTTATATATATTATATATATATATATATATATATATATATATATATATTATTTAAGTGAACAACAGCAAAATTGTACAAATCGTGTAACAGCAAAATTGTCCAATTATTAGATTAAGCTTTAAACTATTGTATTCAAAAGTTTTATTTAATTTTATGATAAACTAGTTAAAATCTGCCCTATCTTTTGATGATGTCGTTAATGACTGCATGCCGTGAAAAGCGGCCGGCACTACGACGACAGGAGAGAGGATGCAAACCAAACTCATCAATGGAGGCTCCACATCTGCATCTGTGACGCTCACCTAATTTAAGTCCAAGACGGATCCCGACTCGAGTGCACTCATTATCTAGAAGGGTACCAGTAGATGAAGAGAGCATTGCGTTGAGCCAGGCGCCACTACTCGGTTGTGAAGCAGATAGTAGACAGGCGAGGCGATGCTAATCCAGAGAGAGAGCCTCAAATTAGGAAAATTTGTCTCGCATTTTATTTTATCCCAGCTTTTTTTGTTTTGATGTGTGTGGTGGGAGAGAAAGTAATTCTTGGGTCCAGTGATGGTTCTTGAATGGACTTTGAAGATGGGGTCCAGAGTATAAATGTTGGTACCGTTACTGAAAACCTGAATGATCTTTTCCTCTCACTATTGCTCACTTGTAAAGGAATAGTGGTGCTGAGGCAAAACGATTTTAACCTGTTCTCTTTCTAATGTAATAATTCAAAGGTTTTTTTTTGGTGATTCTTACGACAAATGCTGTCAAAATTGCTAAACGTCTTATTTGAAAACATGGAAAAAATCGTTTAGTGATTTTTTTTTTTTAGATATTAAACACTTTGTGCGATGCTGTTACACGATTTGAAGAATTTGTTCTTACATCCCATACATACATATATATTAATTCTTTACACCATCCGCACTTCCAAGAATATGGCGCTTGATATTTCCAAACGGTCAGCGACCTAAATGCAATCACTGGAAAGCCCTTGATTAGTGTTGGTGTTTTTAGCCCTGTAATATAAATTTAAGGTAAAAATCTTATCTGATATTTTATATTAATTATTGTATGTATATATATATATATATATATATATATATATATATATATATATACGAGGTTTTTATAACTCTGTTGGATATTGTAACCTCCTGATCAAGTTTTCCCTCGACAGTTTCCTCTTTTTAAAAACTTATTCACCGTTCTATTGATGGTTCTTGAATGGACTACAATTACTGAAGGCCTGAATCAGCTTTTTCCTCACACCATTTCTCATTTGAGAAGACATAGTGGGACTGAGACAAAACAATTTTAACCTGTTTTCTTTCTAGAGTAATAACTCAAAGGGTTTTTCTGTTTCTTACGACAATTCGTATCAAGATGGCTAAACGTCTTATCTGAAAACATGGGTGAAAGAAACTCAGTTTAGTGTTCTTTTAGATATTAACATTTTGTTGGATAGCCAATTATCACATACTGTTACACGTTTTGGATAATTCTACCGTTACACCTGTTATATATATATATATATATATATATATATATATATATATATATATATATATCATTGTTAAAGTTCATATAGAGGATGCCAATATCTGAATAGACGCCTTTTTTATCAGACTGTATGTTTATTTATTTCCTTATACCGGCCAGAATATTCGAGAAATCTTTTTCAAGAAAGCAAAAAGCGGTCTCTGGCAGCACCAACGACCCCCTTTGCGGAAGAAACCATCGTTAGATGCGTCATGTTCTAGACCGACTCAGCCCCGGAGTGCGTCGTAGATCAATGAAAGCCAAATAGTGCCTTATAAACGCAAATCCTTCCCAGATTCTCGGAAGTTTATATCTGCTAAGTTTTGTATCCGAACGTAAACGAAGCAATTTCAAAAGAAATAAAGGATTTTTATTTATTAATCCGAAATCACTTTAAATATAAGTTCAGTGGATACCCATATTTGAGTAGACGCCCCATTTTTTAAAATCATTTCACTTCAAGCAAGGTGATAATGCCACTAAGACGCAACGGTCTGCTGAGAGTGAAAGAGAACGAGAAAACTTGAGCTGGGACCGGAAACCCAGTCATAAACAGGAAACAATGGATAAATATCTGCTCTTGTTCAATAGATGGCGAATGAGGGTAAACCAGGCGATAGGTGAGCCTATCTGCTCCTGTGCTCGTCTGTCGGCCTTAATATTCGAGAAATCTTAATACTAAATTTGACCTCTTGACCTTGACATATAACAATGATATTGAACTGAGCTGTGTTGTTTTTTATTTTATTTATATTAATTTTTATTTATTTATTTTATTTTTATTTATTTTTTATTTATTCTATTATTTATTTATTTTATTTATCTTTTATTTATTTTTTATTTAATTATTTTTTATTTATTTTATTTCTATTTATTTTATTTTAAAATCATTACTTTCATTAATTTTCAAAATGAATAAGAAAATTTTATTTTTGCGTTTCCTTTCCCAAAGTATTAACTTTTAAAATTTCACGGTTTGTCTTAACAAATTTTGCTATTCTTTCGAGTTTTTTTTTAAATAAATAAAACAAAATAAAATTTAAAAAAAAAACAAAATAAAAATAAATAAAAAACAAAAGAAGAAGAAATAAATAAAACAAAATAAAATTAAAAAAAAAACAAAATAAAAAATAAATAAATAAAACAAAAGAAAATGAAATAAATAAAACAAAATAAAAAAGAAAAAAAACAGAACAAAAGAAAAAGAAATAAATAAAACAAAATAAAATAAGTGATGCCTGGCATCAACTTATGTCAAAATTATCCTTATCTCTAAGTTTGAACTCTTTTAATAATCATTTATTGTTTACAAAGGCTTAATTATGTTATATTTATGAAATTCAAGAAAGCGGCCATTTTTTTCTGCCATGGCTTAGAACAGGATAAATTCCAATGATATTTTTACGGTGTTGATGACGTTATTTCCCGGCCGCTTACAACAAATTTAAAACTGCTTGAGTCTGTGTGTTTTGTGCCAGACAAATTTAATATTGGTACACAAATCGGAAATGAAGTGAATGAAGATAATAGAAGCGAGAAAGACAGCAATATTGTAAACGGTGCGCAGTTGTCGAAAGATTTTGTGGGAAAAAAAAAACAACAAAATATAAAAAGAAAGATGGACGCTGGAACAAGTTCTTAAATTTCAAGACTGACTCAAACAAACTGAAGATAAAATGGAAGGTAGGAATGGAAGGAAGGAGAAAATAAAGGCGTATATTAAAGAAAGAAAGAAAGAAAGAAAGAAAGAAAGAAAGAAAGAAAGAAAAAGAATCAAAGAAATAAAGAAAGATACAAAGACTAGAACAGAAGAGAAATAGAAAGAAAGAAACAAAAAAAGAAAGAAAGAAAGAAAAAAAGAAGGAATAGAACAGACCAGAAATAGAAAGAAAGGAAAAAAAAAAAAAAGGACAGACGGATGAGAACAGGACATATATAGAAAAAAAAAGAGAGAACAGAACAGATATAGAAAATTATGAAGGAACGAACCAGAAAGAAAGAAAGAAAGAAAGAAAGAAAGAAAGAAAGAAAGAAAGAACTAGTAAAACGGAAATAGATGTAAAGAAGTAAAGGAACAATTTACTGAAAGAAAAGAAGAAAGAAAGAAAAAGGCAGGTTACCGATAATGAAATAAAAGTAAATAAAAAAGAGAAGAGACAATTTAAGAAATTACTAAAGAAAAAAGAAAGAAAGAAACAACAGATCAGACTAGAATTATAAAGAAGGAAAGAAAGAAAGAACAGAAGAGGAAAAAAGAAAGAAAAAAAGAAAAAAAAGAAAGAAAGTAAAGACTAGTATTAGAAAGAAAGAAAGAAAGAAAGAAAAAAGAAAGAAAGAAAGAAAGAAAGAAAGAGAGAAAGGAAAGACCAGAAATAGAAAGAAAGAAAAAAAGAACAAAGAAATAAAATAAAGAAAAAAGAAAGAAAGAAGAAATAAAGTAAAGATCAGAATTAGAAAGAAAGAAAGAAAAAAGAAAGAAAGAAAGAAAGAAGAAAGAAAGAGAGAAAAGAAAGACCAGAAATAGAAAGAAAGAAAAAAAGAAAAAGAACAAAGAAATAAAGAAAGAAAAAAGAAAGAAGAAAGAAAGAAAGTAAAGACCAGAATTAGAAAAAAAGAAAGAAAGAAAGAAAAAAGAAAGAAAGAAAGAAAAAAGAAAGAAAGAAAGAAAGAAAGAGAGAAAGGAAATAGAAAGAAAGAAAAAAGAAAGAAAGAAAAGACCAGAAACAGAAAGAAAGGAAGAAAGAAGAAAGAAAAATGAAAGAAAGAAGGAAAGAGAAAGAAAGAGAGGAAGAATGAATGAAGGCGAGAAATAAAGAAAAAAAAGTAGAAATGAAGGAAAAGAGATAAATATAATGAAATAAAAGTAAAAAGGTAATGGCGTAATAACAGAAAGACAAAAAGAAAAGAAAGATCGAAAGAAAGAAAATAAGAGAAGCAGAGAGAAGGAAATCAAAGAAAGAAAGAAAAAAAAGAAAAAAAGAAAAGAATATTGTTTATGAAACATGAAACCCAAGGTTGTTTTTCCTATCATGTCTGTGTGAGCTTTAGTTGCTGATGGTCGATTAATTCTCGTTTTTTCTCGAAACTTTTTTTCCGCTTGAGTCACCCTTTCCTACTCTCTCTCTCTCTCTCTCTCTCTCTCTCTCGGTTGAATAAACCAGCAACATTATTCTATTCTTTAACTTGCAAATAATCGACAATGCATTCGTAAATCGCCTTTTAAGCATCTTTAGCCAGATTCGCGACACTCCACGGGGACGGGGTGCTGGTCTCGAACGAGAATTGTCATTTGCAAGATTTCAACGCTTCCTGCTTATGTTTTAACGAACAGGAGAATTTGTTGAAAGAGCACACATGAGAACGTAACCTCCTAAAATAAATAAACTTGTATTTTGGGATTTCATTATTCTCTAAAAACATTCTCTACGTAGGGAATAATTTAAAACCACGCTCAAATGCTTTGTCATGGCGACGGGTTTAAGTCTGAGGATATTCTTTTTTAATGAAAATAAAATTATTATTTTAATTACGTAGTTTCGTAATATGACTCAACAAAAGGTGTATAAAACGATGAAAACCCCGAAGAAGTCTTAATGAAAAGTGTGTTGAGACAGAAAAACGAAAACTTATGCTCAAATATGAAAACATTCGTCTGATTCATAACTCGTCTCTTAGTCTTTTTTTTTAAGCAGACATGAGACACTCTTCTACGGGGGGGGAGAGTGTAGAAGATGGTGTAGAAGGAGAATTGTCATTTGCAAGATTTTAAAGGAAAGGGAGCAATGGTCGAAATTGCACATATGAGAATACAACCTCTTAAAATAAATAAACTTGTGTTCTGGGATTTCATTATTTATTTCTAGTCATACGGAACACATAATATGATCTGCCATTAGCGGAAGCAATGAAAAAATTCTCTATGGAGGGAATAATTTAAAACCACGCTTAAAGGTTTTGTCATGGCGACGGGCTTAAGTCTGATGATATTCTTTTTTAATGAATATCAAGTTATTATTTTAATTACCTAGTTTTGCAATATGTCTCAACAAGAGGTGTACAAAGAGATAAAAAACAATGTGTACCTTACATAAGGCAAGTATATACAAACGAATAAATGAACTGACAGATGAAAAGATTAGTTCACCATCATAAAATCGAAAATTTGGTGGATTATGCTTAGCGACATATCAGCATCTCTATGGGTCATTTTATGCTGAAATCTAAATATTTTGTTCGCAATTTTATTTCGTTTCCGAAGATGACAATGGTTTACCGATACAAATATTACTAATTAACCCATAGCTGGGGGGTGAGAAGAGGTAGATTCATACAATTTGGCAGCGACAAGACTTCGGCAGTAACAAACAAATTATACTACAGTGTCGACATACCAAAAGGAGTTTGCCGATCCATCTGCGTGACGCTGCCTACAAACCAGGCACTGTCGACCATCCAGGCGCAGAATCAAAGCACAGCCTAGAAGCCAGGTTCTACCTAGAATCCAGGCGCTGCCTCAAAGTCAGGCGCTACTTAGAAACCAGCTGCTACCTAGAATCCAGTCGCTGCCTACAAGCCTGGCACAGCCAGGCATCCAGGCGCTGCATAGAAGCCAGGCACTGCATAGAAGCCAGTCGCTGCATAGAAGCCAGACCCTTTCTAGAATCCAGGCGCTGCCTACAGGCCAGGTGCTGACTAGCATCCAGGTGCTGCCTAGAAGCCAGGATATGCCTAGAAGTCAGGCGATACTTAGAAACCAGCTGCTACCTAGAATCCAGGCGCTGCATAGAAGCCAAACGCTGCCTGGAATCCTGACGCTGCCTAGAATAGATGCACAGCCTAGATGCTAAGTGCTGCCTAGCATCCAGGTGCCGCAGAGAAGCCAGACGCTGCCTAAAATCAAGGTGCTGCCTAGAAGTCAGAATCTGACTAGAATCCAAGCGCTGCATAGAAGCCAGACGCTGCCGAGTATCCAGGTGCTGCCTAGAAGCCAGGATCTGCCTAGAATCCAGGCGCTGCATAGAAGCCAAACGCTGCATAGAAGCCAGACGTTTCCTAGAATTCAGGCACTGCCTACAGGCCAGGTGATGCCTAGAATCCAGGTGCTGCCTAGAAGCCAGGATCTGCCTAGAATCCAGGCGCTGCTTAGAAGCCAAAAGCCAGGATCTGCCTATAAGCCACTGCTGCCTAGAATCCAGGCGCTGTCTAGCATCCAAACACTGCCTAGAAGTTATGCGCTGCTTACAATCCATGCTCTGCCTAGAGTCCAAGCACTGCCTAGAAGTCAAGCGCTGCTTACAAGCCAACCGCTGCCTAGTACCCAGGCACTGCCTAGAAGCCAGGCGCTGCTTAGAAGTCAGGTACTGCCTAGAATCCAAGCACAGTCTAGAATCCAAGCACAGTCTAGAATCCAAGCGCTTCATAGAATCCCGGCGCTGCCTAGAAGCCAGGCATTGCATGAAAGCCAGGTGGTGCCTAAAAGCCTGGTGCGGCTGTGTGCGAACTCAGCAATATCAGCGGAATTCATCCAATTGCAAACTGCAGATGCGAGCACCTTCCAAGCATATGCAACCTCAGAATGAAGTTATGTAGGAGAAGTAGCAAAGAGAGGTACAAGGGATAGGGCGAAGTAGAGCGCCATGATCGCCTACGTCATGAAGGGACAAGGCACATAAAAAGAAGAGGTTTATGCGCTATTTTAAGAATGCTGAGGATATCATGGACCGAGCGTGTGAGGAACGATGAGTTCTTGGAGAGGATGCAATCAAGGAGGAAGGTTATACTTAACCTCAGGAAGAGGCAGCTGAAATTTCTGAGACAAGTGATGGGGAAAGGAGGGCCTGGAGAATCTGATACTCACAGGTCGAATAGAGGGGGTGAGTCAGGGGACAGCAGTGCATGACATACCTGGCGGGCTTGGGCAGGTGGATGGCGAATTGTGGTCTGAGTTGACAGAAACACGAAACCTGTTGAGAGCCAAACGGATAGAAGGAGGTGGAGAGCCATGATCACCTACGTCCTGAAAGAACACGGCTCATAAAAAAAAGAACTTGGCCTAATATAATAAGTCTTACTTTTACTTATCTTTATCTAGGTCAGAGCATGACCTTTTTGCCAAATCAGGGATAGGCGCACGGAAATTAAAATTTAAAGAGAACTGTTGATTTAGACATAGTTTTGTAACACGTGTATGCAACGTCATTGTGATTTTTTTTATTTATTTTAGATGCACCGAGGTCTTCTGGGAAATCTCATACCGTTGCGTTTGATTATAAACTTGAAGGCCCAGGCGCCTGACCCGACTTTATTTTATTTAATGAAAGGTTAAAGTGTTTACCGAACTGATCCCGACGGCTGTTGTTAGCAGGTCGCTTAATCCAGCAAAAATGAGTGTAGTGAATTGCACACACACACACACACACACACACACACACACACACACACACACACATATATATATATATATATATATATATATCAAACTAGCAGCAGATTCAAAAATCGTACGACTCATACAGCAATTGCTATCACTTGACTTAAAATATTTTTGCCTTTAAAGGAGTGCACTTTGCCGTGCTGATGTTGCTACATGCCTTACTTCTTGCCTATCTCAGACTGCGAATTTTTTTTAAAGCTCTATACTAAACATTAAATCTGTTACGAAAAAAGAACTAAACAAAATGAACACAAAACGATCAGCTTTAAAAAAAGGACTCGTAACTGGAAAAACCGAATGAAAAAAAGAATGTTAACAACAAATACTTTTTCACATCCAACCCAGTTCTGCGGAATCAGAATCAATGTTGAGTTTAAGCAAGCGAATGAGCCAATTGGAGTAAAGTGCCATGCAGATTTAAATTTTTCCCACTTGTGATGAATGCAGCTATAGATTTTTTTGCATGCTAGCATGCGAGTTAACATTCGTGTCAGCTGTTGGCTCTCGCGCTGGCCAATAGAATCTTCCTGCCTATCTATCTATCTATCTATCTATCTATCTATCTATCTATCTATTCAATGTCCATCCTTTCATCTATCTATCTATCTATCTATCTATCTATCTATCTATCTATTCAATATCCATCCTTTCATCTATCTATCTATCTATCTATCTATCTATCTATCTATCTATCTATCTCAATGTGTTTATATCTATCGATCTCCTTATCTAAATTTGTTTATATCTATCGATCTTAAATTGTTTCTATCTATCTATTTATCGCTGTCTGCTTATAGCTGTCTATGTTTGCTTATATCTATCTACCAACTACACACACACACACACACACATATATATATATATATATATATATATGCATGTATGATATCAATGTGTTTATCTATCTTTATTTGTTTATGTGTGTATATATATATATATATATATATATATGTGTGTGTGTGTGTGTGTGTGTGTGTGTGTGTGTTTGTGTGTGTGTGTGTGAATTACAATTAATGAGACCCAAACAATTTACCCCATACAGATGATCATTTTGTCCATGTGAAAGTAGTTTTTTTTCCTGGAATTATCAATGCAAATATATTTACTAATCAGAAAATGTGGTAACTCGGTTCGATCTCATTAATTGCAATTTACTTATATGTTCTCTAATAAAAATTCTATTTAGCTCTCTTTTGTGGATCAGTTTTAATATTTTATATTAATAGGATCTACTTGGATTACTTACCCACGGATTTTTTTTACCTATATATATATATCTATATATATATATATTAAAGACATTTTTATGTTTAACGTTCTTTTTTATAGATACAAGTTATTTACCCACGGATTTTTTTTTTACCTTCTTAATATATGACGTCATTTGTTTACATTTGATACGCCAGAGCAGTTATGAATGTACGAGATTCATTGAAGATTGAAGTTTATAAGCAGTAAATTCGACCTTGCCTACCGAACGCTCCTTTGTGGCCGAGTCGGTTAAGGCACGTCAGCGTAAATGACGGTTCCGTATAGGATGCAGGTTCGAATCCTGTCAAAGGACGAATATTTTCTATGAAAATTTCTCGGACATTCAGGCCGGTAAATGTTATTTAATGCTGTTTATTATAAACAGACCATTTACTTAAATACTTGTATCTATAAAAAAGAACGTTAAACATAAAAATGTCTTTAATAAATAAATTGTCGGACTTTGTCCATTTCATAATATATATTGATAATATTAGTGGTAAATATACACATACACATGAAAAATATACATATATATTTGTATAAAAAATAATTCAGGTAGAACTTTGTAGGTCTGATGAATTGGATCGTATTTACGATTCCAGTGGAATAAATTATGACCATGGAATATTAGTGTTTAAACCTTTATATATATATATATATATATATATATATATATATATATAGTTATGTTAAAAGCAGTGCATAACCTTTCAACTTATAAATACCATTAGGTCGGATAACCCATTATTATTTTTCTTAAGATTATTTTTTTCAAACGACTGGGCGATTAATTCAAAATATGCCTCCGCATTTTGAAAAATCTGTAAATTTATTTCCCTGCAGAATAGAAGGGTGGAGATATTTTAATGCAAATTATTTTGCAATACATCATTTTAATGCTTTTTAATGCTTTTGATAAAGTGAAAAGGACAAAATTGTATTCAGTTTTTAAAATCTGACTACTGCTATTTTTTTTTAAATCTTGGGCATTTTTTCTTTTTGTGGGAGCGTCTGTTTACTGAAAATATTACCGTAAACTGCGGCGTACAAATCGAGCTCAAGATTTTTAGCTAAAAATTCTGAGTTAGGTCTATACATACCGTACAGGTCGACTCCGAAACGTGCTGTAGGTTACCAGTGGTCCAAAACTTAGTCCTACTAGTAAATGAAGTAAGTATAAAATATCCTGTGGCAAGCTACATAAAATCACACTGCTTAACTGTATATTGGATATGTACCTACCGCCTCACGCAGGCAGAATGTGACACGAAGTCAGTTTAATGTGGGGATCCCGAGTGCGTGCACCCGGGCTTGGTCAAAAAATAACCCAAACCTCGCAAACGTCTGTTGTGCTTGAATTAGTGTTATCAGCGATCCCGCTCTCTAGTGCAATGAGACTTTTACTGCCGCGGGAAGATGTTCACCGGGACTGGACACCTCTCAATACTTTGGGTTGCGGTTTGTCCGAAAACTAAGACACAACTGAGAGATAATAAACGAGATACGACACACAGAAACTAGCAAGTCCAACTCGCAAAACTCGCGTATTTTTACCTGCATACTGAGACACTAACAATAATATCAATAATATCATTCTATATGCGTTGTATAACAAAAAAACCTACTACAAACACAGGTAGGTAACGTATATTGTATCGGTATAACTAAACTAATATTTAAAATTCGTCAAGTCTACTGATAAACGCATTAAAGTTAACATCAACTCCTACAAAATATTAATACCCCAGATTACACATCACACCAGGTTGTATTTTGATAATACTACTACGTATCATATGTTATTGTAAATCACAGAATCACTCTTCCGCCATTTGCATTAGTGATTAAACAAACAATCAGTGATACCGCCACTTAATAAAATACTGAATTTGTGTTGCTATCATGTTTAAACACTGGTTCCTATACGATCACCGAAGTTAAGCAATGTCGATCCTAGTTAGTACCTAGATGGGTGACTATTTGGGAATGTGCGGATGGCTAAGAATTGTTAATCAAAGAGCTAAGTACCAAAACGACTTAAGGTCACACCACTTACCTGTATATTGAGACACTAATAGTAATATATATCTATATGAGTTGTATAACAAACAACCTACAACACACACACCGGTAGGTAACGTATATTGTATTGGTATAACTTATTGAATATTTAAAATTCGTCCAGTCCACTGATAAACACATTCAAGTCACATGAACTCCTATAAAATATTAATACACCAGATTACAAATCACACCAGGTAGCTTCTTTAATAGTACTGCTACTTATCGTATGTTATTGCAAAACTCAGAATCACTCATCCGTCATTAGTGTTGTAAACAAACAACCAGCGACACCACCACCTTCAACAAAATTTGACTCGCAACTGAACGATGTAAAATTTCAATCTGGAAGGCACCAAAAATCGACACTAAAACAAACCCCAGTGTTAAGTTGCGGCCATTTTATATTAACAATGGAAATCCTACACAAACTTTTGCAATGGTCTGATATTCTTGTGACTTGCCATCATAATTGGTTTGCTCAGATTATTTAAGTTTGGACGATTGTCCTTATCTTTGTTGTTTTTATCAAAATGTTTTGGACATTATTCCTGCTGGCGTTTTCCTGCTTTTTGTCATTTCCTTTCAGGGAATTTTGGAATTGGTCATTTTATTCCATCTAATATATATTGTCTCCCATAAATTGCATATATACAGGTTAATCACAAGATTTTTTAGCACAAAATTCTGAGGTAGGCCTATACTCCCATAAAGGTCATCCACCCCTTCAAACATACAGTAGGATACCAGTAGCCAAAAACTTAGTCCTACCAGTAAATGTTGTTAGGCTACAGTATATGGTAAGCTGTAACAAAACAACATAAGGTCACACCACTTACACTTATACTGTGACATTAATCATAATATATTTCTATATGCGTTTTATAGCAAACAACACACACCGGTAGATACTATATATTGCATTGGTATCACATAGCAAACATTTAAAATTCGCCAGGTTGACTGACAAACACATTAAAGTCAACATCAACTCTTATAAAATATTAATACCCCAGATTACACATCACACTAGGTTGTGTATTCATAGTACTACTACTTATCGCATGTAGTTATTTGAATGGCTGCCTGAGTTAAACGGCTCTGTGGTTAGTGTATCAGCAGTTGGACGCGATGTACTATCTATTGTTAATAGAATATTGAATTTGTTACTCTTTTGTATTAATTTCTCTGATATGCCAAATATGTTCACCAAACACAAGTTTTAGTGGGAGATATTTGTGTCAGTCTGCTTGTAGGTATGGTAAGCGATGAACAGTAATTCTAAGGAAGGCTGTCCCATTTGTTTATATCTGAGTGGTAAAGGTTTGCATTTTATACCCGTCGTATAAGTCGAACCTTAGTTTTGGAAAGATATTTTTAGGCTTGAAATCTCGACTTGTATTCCACAATTTAAAGCAATTTTAAATTTGACTAATAAAATTCTACGGTAGTGTTTAAATTAACTGTGCAGCAAAGCCTAGCAAAGAAATATAGCCCGCACATTGTGGGTATCATTGCTAGTAATCCTTACTCCACCATGCCTTATGTTGCGTTAATAGAATACTGGATTTGTGTTACTAATTAATTTCTTTGTTGCTTCCCTATTCCTGTTTCCCTGAGAGCTATAATCTCCAACTATTCAAATGTAATGTCAATCGACATCTCCAGTTGCCGTGATCTATCCACTATCCTTCTCCTCATCATTTCATCTATCACTCCTATCTGATCTTGCTCCAACTTTTCTGTAAACCCTTGCGCCGTAGTGGCGTCCCGCCTTGCTTGGGGTGAAACGCTTAAAAAAAGAAAAGAAAAGAAAATTAATCCAAGGGACTGTTTTTTTTTTTTTTTTTAACATTTTATTTTGGTGCTTTATGAAACGGGTCAAAAAAATTCAGAAAACGCCAAAACGCTGATTGCCAAATCGGGGTATGCGAGTTCTGGCCCCGTTGTTATCACGCACAACTGGAGATCCTTCGGTTTGTTGGTTTTACGACATGTCAACCTTTTCTGTCTGAATTTCTGGGATGAGGAGTTATCATTCTTTTACGCGATTTACTTCCAGACTATTGTCCTAATTTTTTTATGTAGATTACCTTGATCGACATATTCCTCATGAAGACCGGATAGCACAATGGCCGAAAAGCTGTGATAACAATAAGGGTGTGTGCAATTGACCGCGTAAAAATAGTGTAACTGATATCAAAACTTGTTGGCTTATTTAATGTTGAATTGTAACTGGGGCACCCAGTGAGGATTGAACTACCTACTCAGCAGTTATGGTTAACGAGTTTAGATTCACAAAATATCTCTCGACGCTAAGTGCACAACTAGAGATTGGAAATGTCTTCATGTTGATGCCAGACTAGTGATAATCATTATCACACATTGAAAGAAAATGAAAACACGTTCGTATCGAAAAAGAAAAGAACGCGCTTTCAACCAACAATTTAGGAAGTTTTAAAATTAGGAAAATCTTTATTAATTTCAACAAATATACACGAAATTACACCCGCACACAGAGATAGATAGATAGATAGATAGATAGATAGATAGATATAAGCACACACAGACACACACATACACACACGCATATATATATACCAAATAAAGATTGATCGATCGATCGATCGATCGACATATGAATACATAGATTGATATACGTACATACATACATACATACATACGTATATATATATATATATATATATATATAATATATATATGAAGTGAGAGAGAGAAGAGTAAACATCGATATTAGCAGAGAGCAATAGATAGTTATAAAAATATTTATACACATATATGCATACTTTATATATATATATATATATATATATATATATATATATATAGAGAGAGAGAGAGAGAGAGATGAGTAAACATAGATAGATAGACAACTATGAGCAGACAGTGATAGATACAAAGAAAAAATTGAGATCTATAGATATAAACAAATTTATATAGAAAGATCGATAGATAAAAACACATGAATAGATAGATAGATACGAAGAGTCAAGGGAATATAAATGCTTATATACATACTTAAAAACACACACACACACACAATTAAAAGGAGTATATAGGTTCGCCTATCATCCGGTTCATATTCTTCCCGTCCTTTTGAACAGGAGTACACGTTTATCTCTTGATTCCTATTTCGGATTGGGTTCCTTCTAATATCTCATTCTCTTTCACTCGCAGTTACTCCTTGCGTCTTAGTGGTATTATCGTATTGCTTGGGTTGAATCAATTAAAACACACACACACACACATATATATATAGATATATAGATATAGATAGATAGATAGATAGATAGATAGATTGAGAGACAGATATATATATGCAAAAATTTAGTTTTAAGATATGCTTTATGAGATATCAGGGATAGAACGTATGTAAATAGTAAAGTGGACATTGAGGTCATCACCCAACAACAGCCTGATGACTGCGTTTAGGCATGAAACAGACTGCCACCACTGATTGTTGACCTCAATGCTCACACACACACACATATATATATATACATATACATATATATATAACAGGAGAATGACAGTTGGAAAACTACATGTAGTTTCAGATGAAGCGTTTCGTCCAATATGGACTTTTTTCAAGGAAAAATCGAAGAATTTAGCAACGCTATTATATATTCAATGGGCCAACTAAAAAATTACATCATTTACTTTTTATGTTTGAAGAGAATTTTTTCACGTGTCGAAAATTTATTTGCATTGTTCTATTGATGGATTCAACCATTTTCTTTTGATTATTGATATATTTGTTGTGTACGTTGGCTTGGGAGAGTATTCATTCTGTTAAGAAAGGTGAAATATGGAAAATTCCTGGGCATAGATTAATATTTGGATAATATTCAATGGCAGCACTCTCGAGGATTTTCCTTCTGAGTCTATTTTTTTTAATTGGTGTAGCATTTTTAAATTAAAATTGTGGCTTAATTTATTTCTATATATGACTAGATCATTTGTTAAATTGTTATTTATGAGGTCACTATTGTGCTCATAGATGCGTTTTTTTTTTTATTTCTGCATGTTTCTCCAGTGTATTGCGAGGAACAGTTTTGGCACTATATTTATATAAACCTGCTTTAGAAATATTATCACTATGGGTGTTTGAGGATCTGATTATATCTATAATAGTTTTGGGAGTGTTTGTGATTACTTGGTTATTATTTAGATGGAATAGGTTGTTCTTGATAGTGGACGTGACTGAGTCAATCGGTAGTATCATGTATCTGTTTTCATATAATTTATTATTATGGATGATGGTGTTATTTTTATTGCAGTCGTATATTTTATATGATTTTCTTCTTGTGTTGTGGACGAAATGATATGAATATTGTAAGTTTTTGAATGTGTTTTCTATGTATGTTTCTTCTTTGGATAAATATTGGGGGCTGCAAATTCTTAATGCTCTTAAAAAACGTGTATTAATTCCAGATTTAAATATATAGTATGGTCTGAGTAGAAACTGACTAGGTCGTTTTTGTTGGTAGCTTTTCTATAAACCTTAAAATTAAGTTATTGTTTTTGTGTAACATGATATCCAGGAAGGAAAGAGTGTAGTTCGCTTCATTTTCAAAGGTGAATCTATTGTAGATTCAACGTTGTTCAGTTGGTTGTCAAGATCTGTTAAATTATTATTTTGGGGATATATCCGTGGTGAGACGTCTATCTATCTGAAATAAGATGAGTTTGGACGTAGAATATTTTTGAATGGGTCACTTTCGAGAAACTTCAAAAACAGACAAGCAAGAATGCCGCTGAGAGGAGATCCCATAGGTAAACCAAATTTTTGTCTGTAGCGTTAGTTATCAAAATAAAGAAATATTGCTTCGTGATTAGTTGGTACATTTTTATGATTTTATGTGCAGGTAGAGGTAATTATTTTTGTTTGGTGTGTTTTTAGTAGATTTA